AGACACACACCACTGCCCTCATGAAACTTGCATGCTTTTCAGTAAACGCAGCATGATATTCAGGCTTGATTCTCAATTTTCATTCATATCGTACCGCAGAGAAGCATGTGACATTTCCGTGATTATTTACAGACAGAACAAGTGTTTCCTGCTGTGCCACAGCTCATTTATCACTGAGACACACCTTGTTTTCTTTTCTGTCAGGTGTTCAACAATTGCAAGTGTCTCGCGGTGGCTAATACCCAACCAGGCAACTTGACAGCCAGCCTGGGTCAGTGTCCACACAGGGACAGCTGTGAGAAAGTCTTTCCGTACTTCCTGGCTATGTCTGTCCTCAGTTCCTTCATCATCTCTCTTGGGGGTACACCCGGCTTCATGCTGCTTGTCAGGTCTGTCATATTCTGCTTTTGTGCCTTAAAGCCACTTTTTGCTGTAATGTTGTTTGTATTGTTCTGAAACGTCTCCCTCTAAGAAATACAAACGTCATTCTTTCATTGTCATTCTTTAAGTGTTGCCAGGTTAAAAGTTGAGTCCTGTCTAATACCACAGTGTTGTTTCTAAAGGTGCATTAAACCTGAGCTGAAGTCTCTTGCTCTTGGAATCCACACCTTGGCCACTCGTACCCTTGGTGAGAACCACCTTTGCTGTTCTTGGCGTACATCACTGTCTACTTCATTTACATTTCAGGCTCACAGACATTTCCCTCAAGCTGACTTTCAGCATAATATATATAGTGAGCACAGTTATTGGAATACTGTTTGTTTATAAGGATACACATTTGGAGATCACCAATAAAAATAACTTTTTATGTTAAATTAACCCAAAGTATTTAGCTTAGTACCGCTAATTATCAGTTTAGCTGTATAATTATTAATATTCAAAGTTATTGTAAGGAAGTCTGACTTGTTTAGATTGTAACGTGTGTTCAGGCGAACCGTGATTTGACTTGAAAGTCTGACATAAGTTACTTTATATGTTGTAACTCAGCTGGAATACCTGCCCCGATATACTTTGGAGCCATAATTGATACGACCTGCCTCAAATGGGGATACAAGATGTGTGGAGGAAGAGGAGCTTGCAGAATATATGACACTTCAGCTTACAGGTACTTGTAAGATGCCTTTATTTTAACTTTGCATGCGATTTCTGTGGGATTGGCTATCCTTCAAACTCTTGATTTAGTGACCCTGTAATCAAGTTATGTGCAAGTTATTACGCACAGCCATGAGTTATGGTTGATTTATTTAAAATGCTGAACCCATAGCAGATCTTAAATGTACTGCTGGAGGAACAGTGCATTCAAAATAAAAAGTGAAGAACAATTGTTAACAACTGTCAGACCAGTGATTTTAAACACTTTCTGGCATTGGTTTCTTTTTCTTTGTCTCAGCTTCAGACACCAAAACAAGCGCATGTTCATTTTTTTTTAAATCACTAATGATAAAAAGGGATTCAAGTTCAATTCTACCTAAGTAAGGATTAGCATCAGAATTCTATCAGACATTTTCATTACAAAATAATATTGATTCATTCTCTACCCCACCCCCCCCCACCCCCGACTGCACCAAACTACTGTTGGGGCTCTGCCCATAATCTGAAAACCACTGAACTGCACGCTGTCAGCAGTGAACTGATGATGTTAGGCACACTAGGGAAACCATTGGTTAGAGACTGCTGCACAAAAGAATTATAGCAACCATGTTTAATGACCTCCTTGCACTTGAAATGGTTGCTTCAAAGATGGAAACAAGGTCCAAGACCACTTCAGTCAGTTTTCATCTTCAGACCGACTTTGGTGAGTCAAGACCACGAAAAAAGGGCAACAGGATGGATTCAGTCAAGTATCAGTCTGTCACTGAATGGAGTCAAGTTGGCAATGACAAACAATTTGCTTGTTTACTGTGAAAAATCATTGAAAATGACAAACCTGGTTCTGTCTGCGTCTACATGTTTTCGTATTACTCTTACACTTTACTCTTAATGTTTTTTTCAGGGTGGAGTGATTGTACGGGATAGATTTTTAATACATTTAAAAAAGAAAACTTGGGTGCACTCGTTTAAATTTAGTTAAATCTTTCACTTAAATCTTTTAATAAGTGGCTCTACAAAACCTTTTAACTTGACGAGGCCAAGTCCTGTTAACTTCTTGTTAATGATCAAGATTGGCTACAACTGGTAGTTTCTTTTTGAACTCCTAACCACAAGTGTGCATTGAGAGTCTGCCCAGAACCTCACAGAATTAAAACAGAAATTCAGAATTTCCTCCACAAATAGTGATGTAGTTGCTGAGGAACAGCAATTTAATCACAAAGTGGCACGGGCGCTCAGCAACCCTGCTTTTATATTTCTGTCTCTCTTCCACAGCATGCCTTTTAGCCTGTCTTCCTTCTCTCTCCCCAACCGATCGCGGCAGATGGCCGCCCCTCTCTGCCGGAGGTTTCTTCCTGTTAAAAGGGAGTTTTTCATTCCCACTGTTACCAAAGTGCTTGCTCATAGGGGGTCATTGATGGTTGGGTCGTTCTCTGTATGTATTATTGTAGGGTCTACCTTACAATACAAAGCGCCTCGAGGCGCCTGTTGGTGCTGTATAAATAAAATTGAATTGAATTGAATAAAGGAACTAGAGTATAATCACTTGGCAGGCAGTTGAGTCAAGCCCCCTACTGGAAAGAAATGCATCGCAGGCAAGTATTCTTCACTTGTGATCACAACATGTTGGAAGTGTGTCTGCGTTCATGAATTAGGCAGCAGCTCTTTGGAAACCTTCACTCGTCTTTCTGAGACTGATTGCAGTCGGTCCAAATTGAACTGCAATTCTTTGACAGGTTGCTTCCCACCAGGTGACCGGTGCAATCGCTTTGTGACAGAAGGTGGTCATCCTAGACGTTGAGGGTGTTGCCCACCCTCTGGGCAACCAGCTGCAGTAGTTACTGCAACTACATGCAAAATGCAAAGATAGTTCAGTAACATCCCTGGGCTATTACAGATTTGACCTTGTCACAGTCAGGTTTACTGCTGTGTTTTAACGGTAGTGCCTGAGAGATTGCAGTTTTGGGCCAAAGTATTTTGACTGTAATAAATAAAAAGAGCAGTAATTTTACCTTTTCTTAATTTCAAGTCCTGTCTTTAGTAGAGAGCTAAGATTGTGGAATTACAACATCTTCCAAAAGGACTAGAAGAAAATGCTATTTATACAACTTTGAATGGGAAAAAGTCCAGTAGTGACTAACCTTTAGGGATTTGTAGCTTCACTTAGAGCTGGCCTAAACCGTGACGGAGCAGTTCGTACTCTTAACTGTATTGCTTTTTTTTTTTGTACAGGAGAGTCTACCTGGGTCTGACTTTGGGCTTGAGAACAGTCTCCTTCTTCCTTTGTATTTTGGGATTTGCTCTAATCAAAAGGCATATTAGGAAAGAAGAAAAACATGTGCTGACCAATGGGAGTGCAGAGTTGGAAACACTGAGGAAAGAGGAGAACAGCTCTATACATTGTGAGCAGTTTGTACTGGCCTTGGACTGCAATCCCGACAGAGAAACTCGCTTGTGAGCCTCGGCGCATCTTCTTTTCTTCTGACTCTGCCCGACGAGCACCTCACCTCACATGTACTGAGGAAGACACACTGTGGACATTTTTCATAGCACACAGAGTATATATATTTGTAAAGGATTTGCGTAGATGTACGGTATCTGAAATTAGTCATTTTATAAACAGTCTGATATTTCTGGAATGTGTATGTGTTTGTGTTTTTCATGAATGGAAGACTTTCATAGAAAAAAAAAGATTGTAATTGTGTTGTATTTTCTGTTCTTCATTTTTATGATTAAACGTGATAAAATCAGATTTTGCATTTTAACATTTAAGATGCCTGAATATGATGGTTTAACACACCTGTTTGTGCTGTGCTCATGGCTTTGCTTTTAGTTCATGCATGCACAGGTCTGTCTAGTGTCTCTCACACCTGGATCGCGTTTCTACTTGTGAATGAAACAATTGGTCAAGGGGTAGATCAAAGCTTGAGCAACAGGAGTAGCTCCTTGAAAGGGTAACTCCTTTCCATACAGGGTAAAACCCATCACTTCCTGTACAGATATAAGGGGATGTATTCAGTGACCTAACTGTGCCTTACAGTATGAAATTAAATAGCACAAATTCCACAGCTGTTTTATTTTTGACGTATAGTGCATTTTGGCTTTCAAAGCACCTTTTCTAGGTGATTATACAATCATCTACTACAAATATCCAACACTGGGCCTCTTGATCACACTGATCATAGCAACAAGTTCAGGAAATATTATTAATTATTGTGAAAGTTTATTTTTCATACTCATATTTATACCATCAAACTGTCACCAGAGTATGGTACAGTATGTCAAGATTAGGTTTGCCCTCCTAAAGTCAGTTCAGTTAGAGCCACTAGCTTAAAAGAAGATTATTATTTCCATCTTCCATATTTTATACTTGAAGATATGGGTCTTACAACCCAAGCCTTCCCCAGAGGCAGACGAGGCAGGCAGAGAACGAGTAGAGCTCCTCATACAGAATAAAGTGGAGGTGCTATTCAAATCGGCTTCCAATTTGGCAGTAAATAGCATAGATTATATGAGATTTGTTGATAATCAGCCATCAGCTGATGGCTCACAGACATCTGATGAAATGGCATTTGTGAGCAGCTTATGTATGTATATGTTTTTACAGGAATCTGTGCAGGTTTCTGGAAAACTAAGTACACCATTAATGCTTTCATAGGAATTACTATAAGAGGGTAAGTAGCAGTCAGGAGCTGCTAATCAAATGCACATGATTAACTGATCAGCAAGCTTGACTATCTCTATAAGCAGTTCTGTCAGTTTGCTGGTCTGGAGCATTCAGGTGTATGCTAAAATAATGCAACAGGCTGTGAATCCCCCACAAATTAACCTCAAAGTGACACCTTGTAATGTTCACAGAAATAGGAAAAATCTAAGAGCAACATCTCAAATTACACAGCTCTCCATTCACATGTGAAATGTTCAAGTTCATGACAGCACATCCCATTACAGTGTATAGTTTATAGTGTGCATCCCATTGATGTACAATATAAAAGTCATTACAGTAACACTAACACTTTGTGTTTATAACACAGCTTAGCAGTCAGTAAAAAAAGAAACAATGCATATTCATAATGAAGAGTTACTGTAAGTTAATAGCAAGATTTGTTTATTGCACTCAGTTCAAACTTTAAACAGCAATGAAGATTCAAAGACAATAAAAACAGGTCGGGTAGCAAACTAGATACAGCACACAATCGAGAGGTATAAGAAAAAAAATGTCCATGGAAGGAAGCAAGAGCTGATACTGTGTTCTAGTGTTCACCGATCCTTTTTGTCTTCAGCGCTCTGAAGATTCTGTCAATTAAAAACAGGATCAATGTGGGATTAGCAGTGTGAATATACAGGAGATATTCTGTGATGTGTGTTTGTCATGTATTACCTGGAGCTGATGGTGTTCTCTGAGCAGTCTGTCATACTCCTGAGCCAGACCTTTGGCTTGTCTCCTCATTGCCTCAATATCAGCATCAGACTTACGAACAGCTACACACACATACACGCACTTAATGATTACAAATTTGGACTACATATCATAAATGCTTTTCAAAATGTATCTATTGTACAACCATATGACCAAGAGACCTCTTTGTCTACATGCTCTGCAAACGTAGGTGCAGCTTTCCATTAACGTATTTAAATTAGGTCGCTCACCCTCCTCGGCAGTCTTCAGCTGACCCGCCAGCTTTTCCACCTCCAGCTTCAGCTGCTGCTTTGCTGCTGACATGGATTTTTCCTTTTCCAGGAAAGACTAAGCACAAAGGATTCTCCTTAGTTACTGAGCTTAAGCTGATTATTTAAACAGCAGATGACAGAGCACATGTTAAGTAGAAAGCATAGGAAAATGAAATCACAGCATGGTGTGTGCCTACAGTATGCTAATGCGTGGGCATGACCCAGAAACAAACAAACAAAAAAAAAAGCAAAGTAATTTTTATTATGTTACTTGACAAAAAAAAGAAAAATAATTTTAAAAAAAAATTAACTCTGTTTCTCACTTGCTTGAGGGTCAGTTTGTCCTCCTGCTGCTGCTTAGCTGCTCTCACAGCATTGTCTATTTGTGACTGAAGACCTGCGCTGTCCTCCATGGTGACAGCAACCTGGTTTAGCAAAGTGGCAACCCGACGCATCATACTGTGTTGAAGTCACAAGACAGAAAAAACACAACAAAATAAGACAGTACTTCAACACGTGTGAAGGGTGTGCAGATGGAGCAAAGTAAGTGACAAAATTCCACTAACAGCCAGAGAAAGAGAGAGAAGCCAGATATGTAGAGGTTCCTCTGGGCTCTGAAAAGCTTCATGTGGACGTGGTCGTACACATTTGGGTTCACTTTAGCATCTTGCATGGGCTCAGGACCGGAATACTTCTGCACCTCGCGTAAAGCGTCTGGAAGGGTGGACAGAAACATGACCAAGTGGGATTTGAATACACTTGCTATTATTTTTTAATATCTGTCACACAAAGGAGATTATGTCTGACTCAAAAAAGCTCGCTTACCCAGGAAAAGAACAATAAGGACCATTATTATTGTAAAAAAGCATTTATTCCAGTAAGGAGATAACCAGCTCCATATTCGCCACCTGAAAATCAAACGCCACCTGCAATGTAAAGGTATAGACGGTCTGCTGGGGAAGGATTTGAATGCACTCTACTGGCTATTTGTGTGAACTGCCCGTTTGGGATGATATATCTTTTTAATTATTTCAGAAATTGTGCTCCTTAAAGCAAGTATCTAAATAAGCTTTTGATGACTTATGATATGCTTTTAAAATTGCCTTACCGCTGTGCTGATATTAAAGGCACACACAAAATAAGGTTGACTGTGATCTCTGCATACAGGAAGAAAGCCACCACCGTCCACTGGAGAGTCATTGCCACTGTGATTCTCTGCAGAGATAAGCACATTGATCTATGGGTAGTGTTTTATACTTGTGGAAATCTGTTTTGCCTCCATTGACGAGAGCATTTGTCTGATAGATACCAGCTTTTAGATTAAATTACTCTATTAAACAAGCGGAAGTGGGTGTGAAAGTGGCCAAGTATTCCTCTATTTTGATCTAAATTTCGTCTAGGAAACCAGGCACCACGCACGAGTTTCTGAGCATGCATATAAATGTGTCTACAGGCCTACAAAGCAGGCCAACAGTAGCAGCTATTCGGCTGTTTTCTCTATATGGAACATTTATATCAACATTTATACCAAGTCATTCATCACCGGCTGTTCTGAATGCTGAGCTGGAGCCTACAGCGAAATATAAATCTATGCAAAGCAAAAATATAAAGTTGTTGGCTTACCGGACAAAGTTGTATGGTGCAAAGTAGGCTACTGGAAAGTCCAGACGAGCACACATGCGCGCACACATTCACGACAGCTGCTGGGGAGCCTCAGAGCACCCACAGCCCTAAATAAAACTCTGCCGGATGGCCTCATTAGGGAGTCCCCTTTGGATTGCATCAAAACCCTTAAAGTGATCAAAAGATTAGTTTTTAGTGACAGAATGATTTCAAGAAGTAGTTTTTGTTTGCCTTCATAATGTCACTGTGTAAAAAACTACCCAGTGATCATTATATGATTATAGCAAATCATTAAAGCAAATATAACTGATGATTTTCCCAGATATTATAATGAAAATAAACGGAATTTATATTTGCACTTCGGGTATAAATATGTTGGCTTTTCTAAATGATTTTTCTTTTCATTGAAGACTAGAAGGCCGTCCAGAAGGGGGCGATGTTGATTAAAGTTAGCTGTTGCAGAGGCGCCTGGAGGAGGACGACTTGGATATCTTTTGCAATTACTGCATTAAACTCACTCCAACACAATTCCTCATGTGATAATCAAATATAAGCACATTGAAAAGTGTGGATAAACGGTTCTATTTACAAACCAACATAATGTAAGTGTCAGTAAAATAAGGAAATACGAGCTCATTACAAAAGCAAATTGATTTCTTAGTTGATAGAATTGCTCTTATTGTGTAACCTTTAAAAAGGCTTCAGATGAGGGGTTTTTTGGACATTTCTTCCTCTCAAATGTACTCAGCTTGCAAAGTGTATTCACATGGGCTTCCTCTGTGAAAGAGACTGGGCTGCTATCCTTTTTGACTGCATTTCTCAGGAGGGCTGAGGAGCAAAATCTTTACAGCTGCACCCTGTGATAGCTTTTGGAGAGCGGGTAAATGAGTATGGCAGAACTGAATGTGCTTTGATTGCGCTCCTCTCCACATCATGTTAGAGGCTACACCCACTGTTTGTACTCATAATACATCTACAGGGAGGCATCCATAAACATGAAATTATGTACACACACCAAACATTTTATTAGAAACACCTGTACACCTACCTATTCATATAGTTATCCCATCAGTCAATAATGCGGCAGCAGTGCAGAGCATAAAGTTGTTCAACTACAGATCAGGAGCAAACCATCCATGTGGACAAAAAGAAACAAAAACACGATGGAAATAAAAACAAGCAATTACAGACATGATTCTGCAGGTTGGGCAGGTTTAAATATTTCAGGAACTCACAATAGAAATAGAAAATACTTAAAAAGAAAAGTGGGAGTGAATGGCAGTTCAGTGGATGGAAATGCTTCGTTCAAGAGCGAGGTCAGCCGAGAACAACCAGACCGGTTTTAGCTGACAGAAAGGTGGTATTGGTTCAGATAACCACTCGGGAAAAGAGCATTTCAGTGTGCACAATCCACCTCGAGGTACAAATAAGTAGGGTGATTTGTAACACGATTGTACAGATTACAAATACATAAGCTGAGAGTAAAAGGGGAAAAAAACTCATTTGTAAATTGACAGTTTGGACTCAAGTGGTTTATTCACTCAAATGGTCCCACTTCAGCATTTACTTACAGATGAATGTCAATGCTTCACATTTCTCTTGCTAGAAATATGATTAAGCAGTCTTTATTAACAGGCTACGTACCACAGCCTTTTAAGGTGGCAGTAGCTAAACCATTACTTAAAAAGCCCTTAACTGATCCATCTGTCTTAGTTAATAGACAGTTAGTTATTATATTCTTTTAGTAGTCTTCACAGAGTTAACTTATTATTTGCCAAGAACTGGTTTATTTGAAGAGCTTCAGTCAGGATTTAGTGCAACAATGTACAGAAACAGCATTAGTGATGGGTACTGATAAATCTTCTTACAGTATCTGACAGTGGACTCATCTCTGAGCCTGTTAGACCTCAGTGCAACATTCAACACCAATGACCACAAATTTTTTACTACAGATATTAGAGAACATAGTTGGTATTGTAGGAATGTTTAGCTGATTTAGAGTTTAGAAATGTGTTAACATAGAATGTGGAATTATTGTAGAGACACTGACACTGCCCTCAATGTAATAAAGGCCTGACTGTGTCATGAACTTAGGAGTAGATTGTAGGAGACCCCTCCCCCAGTTGAACTGTGAAAGGTCTCAACATTTGTAACTGGAAAACTGTGGTCTGGAAGGGAGATGGGTTTTTATGACCTCTAGGGAGTCGCCTACACCCACAGTGTTTTAACTGTCACGCACACTCACTCACGTGCACACACATACACACAGGTATGCGTACACAGTCACTCACAAGCACTCACATAGACACACGGGAACGCGCACATGTAGGCCCTCACCTGCTTGTGCACATAGACACAGACACAGAGTTTGCAGCACACCATGGGGGGGGGTTATGATGGGGTCGCCTCTATAAAGCTGGCTGTAACTAACAAAGGGGTGAAGGTTTTGCAGAGAGTCACACCGGCCTCGTCTTCCCTTCTAGAAGTGCATGCTTAAATGAAGATGAATAAAGGTGAATAAAGGTTTTGTGAAATAACTACTGAGTTCCGGTGCCGTCTCTGGAAGTTTCGACGAATAAAAGAACCGGGGTGAAACTGATTTCGTAACAGTATTAAAGGAACTTCACACTGTGATTTGTAATATATATATCTGATAGATGTAAATGGTCCTTCCCTTATATATTAATCATGGAGTTCCACAGGGTACTGTGTGGGGACCAGTACACATGCTTCCAATAGGCAAAATTATTAGATAAATTCTGTATGCATTTTCATTGCTATATTGATGACACCCAGCTTTATCTATCTAAGAAGCAAGATGATACAAATCTATTACTTAAACTGTAAGCACGTCTTTAAGCTATAAAGGCCCAGATGACCTGTAATGCTAAATTAAGACAAAACTGAGGTTATTGTCCCGATCCTAAAAATCTAAGAAACATGACACTTAACTTTTATTTTATAGAGCAGTACCTTAGCCTCCAGTACGACTGCAAGGAATCCTGGAGCCATTTCTTGATCAAGAAATGCACATTAAACAAATCAGTAGGACTGCCTTGATCCATTTGTGAAATATCTCTAAAATTAGAAACTTCCTGTCACATTAAACGTGATGCTGAAAAACTAGTTCATGCATTTATTATTTCTAGGCTGAACTACTTTACTTCATTATTATCAGACTGCTCTAAAAGTAGTAGAAGAAAAGGCTTCAGTTGATACAGCATGCTGCAGCAAGAACACTGACAGATAGAAAGAAAGAGACCATATTTCTCCCATATTAGCTTGTGTTTACTGGCTCCTTGATACATTCAGACTTCAATTTAAAATGATTTTCCTCAGACACAAAGGCTTGAATAATTAGACGGTCATATTTGAAAGACCTCATACTATCTTATTTTCTTAACCGAGCACTTTAGTTGTGGCGGCCTTACTTGTGGTTCCTAGAGTTTTCAAAGGTAGAATGGGAGGCAGAGCCTTCACTTATTGAGGCCCTTTCCTGTGGAACCGGCTCCCAGCTTAGATTTAGGAGACAGACACTCTCTATCTTGAAGATGAGGTATACAACATTTTCATGTAGCTTACATTGAGGGCTGGATCAAGTATTTACCTTGCAAGATAAATCTCCTAGAGGCAACTGTTTTTGTGAATCAGCAATATATATTAATAAAATTGAATTGAATTGCAGGGTTTATGAATAGCATCAAAATATGCACCTTTTACCTTCTTTCTGACATTTTCATGTGACAAACATATGCAATATATCTTGTTTCTCTGACATTTCAAATCAAAGCTAACTACAAACAGCTAACTTGCTAAGCTTCCAGTCCCTGGCTATGCACAGCATGCGTCAGTGAATGTCAGGGAAGGCTGCCTGACATATGAGGCCCTCATAAATTTCCAAACTGATATATTTGAAAAACAGAATTGTTATTAAGCTGTAATAAAGAGACAAATATGTCCATAGTTTTACTTTCAGTTGCAGGTAGACTTACCCATATTGTAAATGGTTATGGAAGGTCACAAATGTGTTTGTATTCACTGCCGTTCACTGACTTTGGTGACGTCTTGGCAAAATTGTTCTGTGGTTGGTTACAGTTGTTATCAAGCTGATGATTTCAGCTCTCTCTGAGATTGCTTTGTTAAATGGGACATGTTGAGAGTCATTGATGCAATATTGAAGAGCCACGCCAGCCTCACAAAATCCAGGGTATTGTCTCCCCCAGCTCTTTGTCCTTACACAAGGACGTGTCATTTGCGCTTTAGATTTCCTTAAAAGTGTACTTTCCTGCCTCAATTTCCTGTCATCCCAAGCCAAAGCCAGCATTTCCTTACCTTTGCTGAAAAACAATTCTGAGGCACATTTCGCACAGCTCCTGAGAGCTTTTGCTTTGGGAACTACAAAGATTTTTATTTTTCCCCGGTACACTGCTTTCTAGACTAACAGCCACAGTTAGTGTGATGTTCATATTTCTGTTCTCAGGTGTAGTAAGCACACGGGTTTTCAGTACATTACAACCATAATAATTTCTTTGCTAGCCTATTGTCATCAATACCAAATCACAACTGATTAAATCAACTTAATTGCAACATCAACATTTAGCCTACATTTGCAGGTGTAGAAATCTCACTGCAGTCAAAAGCCTCAAGTTATCCAAACTCATCAACCAACTATTTTGGGGAACTCCCAGAGCTTTTACTTGCCCTCTGTTGTGTTTGCTTTAGACTTAGGTATTTTAAAGACACAGAACTGTGGTCTCATTTGCATACACCTATGCAAGTGCCAAAGTCACAATCTGAACTATTATGGGCACTGAATGTGAAAGACTCCACTAAGCTAAGGACTCAGGTCACTGTCTCTGCCTTGGTTCAAATCTACAATCTTTATATTTATAGTTAAATAAAAATGTTTGCTAAGTTAAAAGACTTTATGAGATTGGTGGAGTGCAAAAGATGTGCAACCTGATTGAAATTATGTAAAAATACACAAAAAAAACATACATGCCTTTATCCACACAACAATGTAGAGAGAAAATGAGCATTAGTGACACATAGGATAATTCAACCATGCATACACACAATTTCAAACCTGATCTGGAAATGAAA